GAATTTTTATCACATCCACCATTATCACAATCGCAGATGTCTAAAGTAATAGAATCAATAGATAAGAAGAAAATCTCATCCACCTAAATCGAAGACATACCTGTGCAGACAACGTCTAATCCTGTTCCCTTTCCGGTATTCTTGAAGCCATCCTTACATGTGCATGTCACTATATTACTACCATAGTCGTGTGAACATTTTGCATTTTTATCACATCCGCCATTGTCGCAATCGCAGATGTCTAAAGTTATACAACGAATAGATAAGAAGAAAATCCTATCCACTTAAATCAAGGATATACCTGTGCATACAACATCTAATCCTGTTCCCTTTCCAGTGTTTTTGAACCCATCTTTACATGTGCATGTCACTATATTACTACCATAATCGTGTGAACATTTAGCATTTTTATCACATCCACCATTGTCACAATCACAGATGTCTAAAATTATGGAACGAATAGATAAGAAGAAAATCCTATCCACCTAAATCAAAGATATACCTGTGCATACAACATCTAATCCTGTTCCCTTTCCAGTGTTTTTGAAGCCATCTTTACATGTGCATGTCACTATATTACTACCATAGTCGTGTGAACATTTAGCATTTTTATCACATCCACCATTGTCACAATCGCAGATGTCTAAAGTTATACAACGAATAGATAAGAAGAAAATCCTATCCACCTAAATCAAAGATATACCTGTGCATACAACATCTAATCCTGTTCCCTTTCCAGCGTTTTTGAAGCCATCTTTACATGTGCATGTCACTACACTACTACCATAGTCGTGTGAACATTTAGCATTTTTATCACATCCGCCATTGTCGCAATCGCAGATGTCTAAAGTTATACAACGAATAGATAAGAAGAAAATCCTATCCACTTAAATCAAAGATATACCTGTGCATACAACATCTAATCCTGTTCCCTTTCCAGTGTTCTTGAAGCCATCTTTACATGTGCATGTCACTATATTACTACCATAGTCGTGTGAACATTTAGCATTTTTATCACAGCCACCATTATCACAATCACAGATGTCTAAAATTATGGAACGAATAGATAAGAAGAAAATTTGATGCTCGTA